GGGGCTGAATCACATCCCTTCTCAGGGACTTTGGGAACCATTCAATATTTAAATGGTAATTAAACAAACTACGGGTCGGTGGAGTTGTTAACTTATGCAAGGAGAGGAGCATTTGCCCAGGACATGTTTAAAAGCCCTGTTCTGTCAAAACACTGTGTAAGACAAATCTGAATTTGAAGTGTTCTCTTTCTCCCTGGGAGTCTGTGGAGAGTAGTGTTGTCTGTTGAGGCAGAGAGACTCATGCAGGTGGAAGGGGCTTGATGTTTTAATATAAATTACAGTGAACCCTTGAATGACACAGGAGTTGAAGGCACCAGTCTCCTGTGCAGCTGAAAATTTGTATATAACGTTTAACTTCCCTGAGCTTAACTAACAGCCTCCTGTTGACCAGAGCCTCCGACCACGTAAAGCCAGTCACATACATTTTGTGTGTTATGTGTGTTGTACTCTCACTGTTAGGGTAAGGCAAGCTAGAGAAGCAAAACTACTAAGAAGATCATGAGGAGAAAACAGACCTAGGCCTCGCGCAGCGGCGGTGATCTCAATAAAAGGCTTTCATCCTTGTTTTCACATCGAGGAGGCTGGAGAGGAAGAGGAGAGATGGGTCCCGCCGTCTCAGCAATGACAGCGGCAGAAGAAAATCTGCGTATAAGCAAATCACGTGGTGCAGACCCTAGCCCAGGTTGTTCAGGAGTCCACTGTACTTACGTTCTATGCCTTTATTCAAGGTGAATTTCAGTCCTGAAGTTTTTTTTTTTTTTCCTGTGAGTTTTAGGAATTAATTGTGTCACTACAAGTTTTTTCTTGTGTGGTCCTTCTCACATGTTAGTGTGCAGAGCAGAACAGTGTGAAAGTGCAGGGTTGGAATCAGAAGGTCTCGGGGACCCGTGAGTCTCCGTGTTCCACTGGCTCCCTGGTGATGCCAAGGCCTCTGGCAAGGAGTGCTCTGGGCAGCCGCCACCCCATGGGTGTCTCCGGATCCTAGACTAGCTCTGATCCTAGAAGCCCAGGAGAGGCAGCTCCAGATTCCCCACCAGTGCCTCCTGCTCTTCACTCCTCAGCTGAAGAGACCAGATCAGGCTGGAATTCCTGGGATTTTTGCCAGGCTCGCCTTACGGCAGTCAGCATAACCCCTTCTGTGTCAGGCTTGGTCCTGGAGGCAGGCTCTTTGGTGCTTGCCGAGTCTCCTAGGGAGCACAGGGAATCACAGTTGGGCTCCTGTGTGTGCGGATGGGGAGGGTGCGCTGTCTGGGATGGTTTAGGTGAAGGCTCTGTGCTAGCCGGCGTGTGGGGAGTGCTGGGAAGCCTCCCCTGTGGTTTCCCTGGGCCGGTCTTGACAGCACCTCTCAAACTTGAGTGCTCTCGATGCCCCCTTCAGGGAGGATCAGGGTGTCCTTGTTCCTGTCATGTCTCTTGAGCCCCGTGGTAGGGGAGGTGGAGCCCTGATGGGCTGCAGGGCCCCTTGCAGTATGGAAAGGCACAGGACAAGGACGGCTGTGCCCAGCATCAGCTGGCCCTGGATCCCAGAGCTGTCTACAGATACTGTCCACTCCGCTGGGCTGAGCTGTGTCTTGTTTTGGCAGCTGCGGGGCTGCCAGCTAATGGGCAAGTTCCTGAACCCACAGCATTGGTGCTGTGGATTCTGCGACAGGGAGTGTGCTGCTGGCTCATGTGGGGAACTCCCGCCACCCTGGACTCTCGGTGACCCTGACAACCTGTGGAGCTGGGACAGTTGCCGTCTATCTGGAGGTGAAGGAACAGGGAATGCGTGGCACGGGGCTGGTCAGGGCCATGGTGCTGTCCAGCCCCTTCAGCCGCAGCTCTGCATTTCCCTTCCCATGGGCCGTGCTCTCCGCTCTGCACGGGGCATGAGTCAGCCCCAGTGTCCCGAGGCACATTTCTTCTCCTCCTGACTAAAGGGTCACGAGTTTAAAATAGACTTTGCCTGATAACTTGGAAATGAGGGAGATGTAGGCTGCTCTTAAAATGAGTCTAAGCAGGGACAGCCAAGTCACCTTCCAGGGAAGAGACTCTGTCCTGGGGGTGAGGCTCAGCAGCCCCTGCTGTGTGGTTGGCTGTGCAGCATCGTGATGAGAAGGCACAGGGGCCAGGCCCAGGGAGCCTTGGAACTTGTCTAAAGTGGGGACTCCCATGTGTTCAAAGACTGCCCTATGTGACAGCTCTGCCAGGGAGGTGTGGAGGTGTCATGGCAGCCCCCACCCTCAGACAACGCCCGTGAGTAAGCCGAACCTGTGGGCTTGGCTCCTGAGTGCCGTGCAACTGCTGGGAGAAGTCACTGATACGGCTGAGTGAGGGTGCCTCGGGCCTCGGCTGGCTCTGCCATGTCATGGCAAGGGGCGAGGCTGGCCAGCCCTACACCTGGTGCCTGCAGACAGGTCCCGGGAGTCATAGGATGGGCTACATGGCATCCACATTGACCCAAATGCTTCAGCAGCACATCTCAGCTCTGTCACCCATCTCGGTGACTGTGATAAGAGTGGCGGTTCATGGAGAGGCTGGGACGGGGCTGCAGGGCCTTGAGCAGATCGCTGCCGTCGGTAATGTGTTGTAGCCAAGGCCAGGCAGACAGGAGGGTCCTGGAAGGGCAGCGACCTGGATGGTCGTAGCCATATCGTCATGCAGGTGGCTAGAGAAACATCTCTTTCCAGGAAACACAGCGTATGCCTGGGGCAACACTCCCGAGCCACCGGAGTGTTTAGTGTGATGCAGGCCATGGGAAGTATTCTGCCTGGCGGGTGTGGCCCACTTCCTCCACGTCCTGAGTGCACTTCCAGATCCCTGGTCCATTGGGGAAGGTGCCTGGGCGCAGTCCCAAGCTAGGGACGCTGAGAGAACCAGATGTTTCAGGAGGGAAGTGATAAGCCCTTGCACCGTCAGGCCCAGGCACTGTTTGCAGGCCGTGGGGTCTGCACCCTGACCACACCAGAGCTGTTCTGGGTGTGTCCATGGGCCACAGACTCACTTCCGAGTTCAGGACGGTGGACTGTACCGTGGTGAAGGCTCCATTTTTCCATCCTGAGAGTAGGCAGTCTGGGTTTTGTAAAATTTTACTTCCTGATAATCCTTAACTTCTACTTAAACGTTGCCATTGAGTTTCTAGACAGCTGTGAGTTTGAACAGCCTTCCTTGAGTCAGGCGCTGAGATGGCGTTTCTCCACGCTGAGACATTCCAGTTTTGTGGTGGAAAACTGGAAGAGAATGTAAAATTCAGAGGTTCAGATAGAGAAAATGTCTTTGGCCTCAGCCGTCAGGGATCGTGTTGGAAACACCTGGTGCCCCTGCACCATGGGTGGAGGCCTCAGGCAGTGAATACATGGACCAGACCTGTCCCTCTCTCGAGTAACTTTAGGTCTGTTCTTGTACCAGTTAAACACCAAGACAGCACTTTGTGGGATGTTATTATTTATTTTGAAAAGACAAAGCAGGTCTTGAGATGATGTTGGAAGAGAAGCATCTGGTGGTCTCACCGAAGCCTGTTTCCAGGGGCAGGTGGCACATAGCGTACCCTTGAGCCGATGGGGTAGAGGTGGGAGAGGCTTGGAGTGGAGCTGCCACTCACAGGAGTATCTGCACACTGCTTCAAAAGCCACACTTGACACATGAGCAGGATGGGTAAATACTGGGGGGCGAGGGCAGAAGCTGCTTCCCGGATGGTCATGCATGGTGGGGCTGCTGTGGTGACAGAATAGAGGCCTGTGCACAATTCGGTTCCTGTGAAATGTTTTTGACGGACGGCATGGTGATGACCTGAATGGGGGACAATGGCTTTGGGCAAGGGGGTGTAGGTGTGCCCCCCATTCCTCTTGTAGGTGCAGCTGGAAGGCCTGGCTCTAGTGGTGAAGAAACCTAGAAGGGCCACAGGCCAGGAGGAGGCTGTGCTCCAGGAATGTCCATGCTGAGCATGGCGTGGTGAGGAGACCAGGACGAGGCTTGGAAGGAAGGAGTGCGCTCACACTTGAGTGTCTTACAGGGGCCCCTTCACCCCAGAGCGGTGGGGAGTCGGGAAGAGGGGCACAGGGAAGGCCTCCGCCATTGCCTGTTGAGTTTTCTGCAGGAAGAGTGGGACAGAGCAGAGCAAATAGTTCAGAAGTGGCTACTCTGGAATGTTCTTGCACGCTTTGTGCTCTAGGGACGCCTTCTCATATCCGTTACCTGGCTCTGCATTGGTTTCAGGCAGGGATTGGCTTGTGTGTGGGAGTTAGGTAAGAAGGTGGTTGGGTTGCATAGAAGCCCTTGGCTATCTAAGAATTTGCTACCCCTGAGAGGGGCAGTCTCTCCATGGCCTGAAACTTTTTAAGATGCCAAAATTTCCTTAAATATAGAAAATAAAATGTGGCTAATACAGTATGTGCCCTCAGATTTCTTGGGAAACCCAGGAGCTGGAGCCTGAGGCCCAGGGGAACATCTGGTTTCGTGGGCATGGAGTTGGGACCTCGGAGCTGCCGGGACTCCCTCAAAGACACCCCTTGCCCATCAAGATAGGGAGCTGGCTGTGCAAACGGCACAGGCCTGGTGGGGAAAGGAGTTGCTTCTCAGGTGGCGAATGGGATGTGAGGCTGAGGCTGTGGACCTGACCTGCCAGACCTGAGGACTATGGTACTGCACTGCCTGTTGTGGCCTGCGCGACCTGCAGGAAAGGGACCCCCTTGCGGCGCCTGACCATTTTGGGTGCAGCCTGTACCAGGTGGGACCCAGGACCCAGGTGCTGCTGACAGCCACACACTAGGCCAGGTGTACCTTTCTGCCGCCATGAAGTACCTGACCCCTCTCTCTCCTCCTTCCTGCACAAAGCTGCCATTCCTGTTGCTGGTGACCCGGGGAGGTGCATCCTGTGATGTCCCTTCCTGGGCCCAGCCCCTGCCCTGATTGGAACAGCTGCCTGCTTTGATGAGTTACTGAGTTTATTGAGTGCAGTTTGAGAGTGGATGAGTTTTATGCTGCCTCTGGGTTTAAGGAATGTTGTGTTCTCTCTTTTGAAGCAGACGGTTGATGATGAAGCGCCAGCCGTGTAAATGAAGATCAGGTGAGGAGCAGGACGATGCCCAAGGGTGGGTGCCCTAAAGCACCACAGCAGGAAGACCTTTCCCTCAGCAGCGACATGGTGGAGAAGCAGACTGGGAAAAAGGTAAGGCTGCCCCCTCCTGTCCCTGCGTGCTCACCACACCCAGATGGGGATGAGGCCAGAACGGGGTGCTCCCTGCTCATGGCTAGCCTATTCTCTGCCCTCCTGCCCCTTTCATTGTGCCTCTGTCTGAGCCAGGAGTGGAGAGGGTGGTGAGGAATGATGTTTCCAAAAGTGGCTTTGCTTTTTTTCTATTTGTTATTTGGGGAGCAAAGTCTGGCATTAAGTAATAGCTTTATGTACAGAAATTGCCCTGAGCCTTAATGTGGCTGCTTGTTTCTACACCCAGGATTACAGGATTCTGTCCTGGCTTCTGTTAGACAGACCTGTCAGACATTTAGATATCCTGACTACAAGCACTGCTGAAGAATGTCACTTCCAATTTTGGTTTATCGTGTATGTGAATAGGAAAATGATGTAAATTGAAACACTGCATTTTATTAATGTGCTGTTTATGCTGATTCCTGGGCTGCAAACTTCCTGTTCTGCCATGTGCTGGGTGACGCAGTTTCCTGGGGTGCAGACTTCCCGTCCTGCAGTAGTGGCAGGTGATGCTGGGTTCTGGGGTGTGCACTCCTGTCCTGCAGTGTTTGGGGGAGATGCTGAGTTTTGGGGGTACCTGGCGAATGTGAACTTGGACAGATCCAGGTTCAAGTTCAGGCATTGCCATATGTTATCTTTGTGACCGTCCACAGGTCAGCTGTCTATCCTGAGTCAGCTTGCTGTCTCAGCAGCAGGCACAGGAGTGGTTGGTGAAGCAGGGCCTTGCTGTGGAGGACACGGGTCAGCTCCTGCCAGCCTGTCGTCATCATTTGATCCTCGTGCTTCCTTGCTCTTCCTCTCTGCTTGGCCTGTGTGGCAGGCCGTTCATCAGTGACCTGTCTGACCTTCTGTGGTCCCTGGTGGGCAGGTCTGCTCACTGTGGTTCCCGGTTGCCAGTTGCTCTGAGCTGCCTTCTGGTCCCCAGGTCACTACCTGTGAGGCCGCTCACTGCTTCCTGTGCTGGTTTGTTGGGGCTTGGCTCTCTGGTCACGTTCTGGGTGTGGTGTGCGCTCAGCAGGCATCCCACATGTGAATAAACGAGCAGATGGCCTTCCTCTTAGCAACCACGTGGGCAATTCAGTTCACTAATTTTTGGTTAATTGTGAAGCATTTTGTGAACACGGACATCTGTAGGTGCTAAACGACAGAGGCTTTGATACCCTTGATGTCTGGGCAGTGTCCGAGTGTCTACTCCCACTTGCTCTGTCCTGAGCCCCTCGTGCTGTGTGCAGGGCGAGGGGCACTGTGGCATGCAGCCATCAGCGAAGGATGAGCTGAAGCTGGTGCTTGGTCAGCACCACACTGCAAAGCTCACCCACGGGGATGCACAGGTCTGTGAAGCCTTTGGTGGGTCTGGGTTTGGTGCGTGGGATGGGCGTGTCCTACCGAGCTCCTGAGGAGATGGGTGCAAACGTGCGGCCTTCAGCGGTGAGGCAGAAAGGCACAAGGGTGGATCCCTCTTCCTGATGGTTCCTGCTCTTCTGTGGCTAAGCGCTTGGAGTGTTGGGACAGCTTGGCCTCATCTTCCTCATCTCAGGCGGTTGGGTCCTGGGACTCAGCATTCATGGGGAGCAGCCCAGCTCTGCAAGGGTGCAGAATGCTATGCACATAGCCCAGGCCTCACCCTGTCCCCTTGAGCTCCTGCTGCTGCTTCAAAGCTTCGGCTTCAGCACATTCCATGCCTCGACTTGGCACTGCTTTTGTGCTTTGAAGAATTCCCCACGAAGAGCTGGAACTGTCTCCCAAAAAGGTTGTGTATGGTGCGATTTCAACCTGAGAGCTTGGAGGTGTGAACCGTGTGTCATGTTCACATGGGTGATAAGAGTGAGGGTCTCTGGAAGGGTTGCTTGGCTTCTGTACCTGGGCTGTGCTCGAGGAAAAAGATGTTTGGGTTGTGCCCTTGGGGATCTGACACTGGAGTTGTGAAGTGGCCGTGTGAACGGACTGCTGAATGAACCAGGCCTGTACTCACAGAGGATCCCAGCCTCCTGCCGACAGGCTTTAGGGTAAGAGTGATAGTGGCAGCCTGGGTAGGATGCAAAAGGCACGTGGGGAAAGGAGATCCTGGCTCTGGTGTTGATGGCACCTGTCACTCCCGTTCATCTGTGTGCCTGGTCTGACAACGATGAATAAGCAGTGGAGGGAAGAATCAGCTCCTTTGGCTCAGGTCTCAGAAATGCTTATTGAGGAGGGGATTCTGAGCAGTTGGACACACCAGTCTGCTGGCCGTGGTGGAGCCCTGCATCAGTGGACTTGGAGGGAAGGCAGTCCAGGCAGGGTAGCACGAGAAAGGCCAGGGGAGCCAGCAGGTTGTGTCGGCTCATGAGGGCAGGGTGTCCTGAGTTGCAGGCAGCCCCACCACTGACGTGCATTGTCAGCTGCTGTGAGATGTTCTCTTAGTGAAGGAGAAGAGAGACTTGACTTCACTGGTTCTAATATTGTAGATGCAAGCTCTGTTCACACATGTGCTATGAGGGATGCATGGATTGGACTCTGGGTTTTTCCAGTTAGGTTGCTGCGTTCTGGGTTCAGTTGTGAGTTTTGGTTTTTGGTTTGTTTTTAAACATGGTTTGGCTCTGTCACACGGGCTGGAGTGCAGTGGTATAAGCTCAGCTCACTGCAACTTCTGCCCCAACCCCAGGCTCAAGCCATCCTACTTCAGCCTCCTTAGTAGCTGGGGCCACAGGAACATACCACCACACCCGGCTAACTTTTGTATTTTTTGTAGAGATGAGGTCTTACCGTGTTGCCCAGGCTGGTCTCAAACTTCTGAGCTCAAGCGATCCTTCAGCCTCGGCCTCCCAGTGTGCTGGGATTACAGGCATGAACTACTACATCCAGCCTGTCCTGGGTTTTGGTTTTTTTGTTTGTTTGTTTTTTAGCTATTCACAGTAATGCCAGGCAGTTTTCTCATGGAGGCACACACATTTTAAATGTATTACAGGGAGTAGGGAGCTCTCAGACCTAGTTGAGCTTTCTTAGCTTAAACAGTAGGTTGAAATAGAATGTCTGGGAAAATGCAACCCCTGTTTGCAGCTGCTCTTAGAAGCTGGATTCCTTAAGGAGGGAGTGATGCCAGAGTGCCGGCACTCAGGTGCACACATCTGACATGCCCTTCTCCTGGTGTAGGCTGAAATGGCTTCTGCTCAGTTTTCTTCCATAAACTCCCATTTCCCCAGATAAAGTTTTATGTTATCAAAAACAATGTATTTTTAGATTTTTCCGAAAGAATCGTGATCTCCGTGCCATATACATGGAAGATGGGAACGGAGCCCAGCCCAGTCCTGGGGCCATGCTGACCTGACAGCTTGTTCTTGTCCCTTGCACAGTCTCAGGCACACCAGAGAAGGGGCTCCTCTCAGGGCCCCCTCTGGGAGGCAGTCTCTCACCACTGCTGGCCACGTAATCCTAGAACTGCCGGGCTGCCTCAGGAAGAAGCAGCAGGTGTCTGCATCATTGAGTGTGTTCTGATGCAAAGGTGTCTAGGGCCGCCAGAGAGCAGCATCGTCCCCAGCCCCATGGCTCAGTCATACGGTCTAACTGTGCTCCGTGCATGCCACCCAGAGCACAGATAGCCTGTCAGCCACCCGAGCTCCATTTGGTGGTTCTCAAAGCGTGTCCTCCGACCAGCAGAGTCACCTGAGCGCCTGGATCCTGTTAGGAGCCCGCATTTGCAGCCCCGCTCAGACCCTGTGAACTGTGTGGAGGCTGAGAAGCTGGAGGTGGCAGCCATGGGCATAGAGGCTGCAGCTGAGAACTACGCATGTGAGCCCTCCAGCAAGTCTCAGTGGAAAGCCCCAGTCTGCATCAGTTTCCTACAGACTCCTGCCTCGTCTGAGACCCTCCCTGAAGGTAGCTTTGTCAGTGCTACAAGTGAGGGCTGTGAGCCACGTCAAGACAAGCATTGGAGAAGCTGGGAGGCCGGTGCCTGGGCTTTACTGTGTCCCGCCTCATGCTGTGGCTTCTTGAGCAGGTCTGGGATGGGGCCTACTCAGAACAGAGCCCAGAACTCACCCTTGGAGGAGCAGGAAGCTGTGTGTGACGGCAAGAGCCCACAAGGGCAAAGCTGGGCCCAGCTGCCACCTGAGTGTCAGCTCTGCCTCAGGCTCAGACAGGCCTGAGGCCATTGTGGGCCCACATGGGATCCTGGAGAGGGTGGTTTCTGTCCATCCTTTTCACTAAGGCAGAAAAGGACACCGGACATAGAGGAAGCCGGGTTTGCCAGACTTGGGTCTGCTTCTCTTGCCAGTCCTTGGGCTCAGAGCACAGAGCCTATGGCTGGCCAGCCCGGCACATCCTAGAAAGCTCTGACCACTTCTGCTTACCCACCACCCAGTTCACATGCCTGCATGCTGACTCTGTCCCACCCTCTCCTGTGTTATTCCTCTCTCAGAACACTCTGTTTCCGTCTCCTCCCACCCCAGGTTTAGCTCTGAAGGAGTGAATTTGCATTCTCTGTGTGCTCAGCTCTGCCACATGCTGTCTGCACTGAGGCTCACCCGATGCTGTGAATGCTGAGCCCCTCAGGTTCTCACATCATGTTTTAAGAAGTGGAAGTCCTGACTGGGCGCAGTGGTATGGGCCTATAATCCCTGCACTTTGGGCTGAGGCATGAGGATCACCTAAGGTCGGGAGTTTGAGACCAGCCTGGCCAACATGTGAAACCCTGTCTCTACTAAAAATAGAAAAATTAGCTGAGCATAGTGGTGCATGCCTGTAATCCCACTTGGGAGGCTGAGGCAGGAGAATCGCTTGAACTAGGGAGGCACAGACTGAAGTGAGCCGAGATGGGGCCACTGCGCTGCAGCCTGGGCAACAACAGAGTGAGACTGTCTCGGGGGAAAAAAAGAAAAGAAAAAAAAAAAAAAAAAAGCAGAAGTTCTTCCCTGTGTTCCTTTTCCTGATTTTCATTAATAGAATAAAGCAAAAACTTCCCACTTTAAGGGCGTAAATGCCAAGGA